TGAGAAACATGCCTTTCTCACATTTATCACGGTCAGGTTGAATGCTGGACGAATCTGAGCAGCTTCCTCTCCCTGCTTTTTACTGCAGCTTAAAGATGATGGAAGGCCAGCAAACACAGGGGCCGTCCAGGAGAGCACTATAGGACTGTCTGCTGAAGCCTGCTGGCTTTTGCCTCCTCCTAAAATCTATTAATGAACAGATTTACTAGACCTTACAGGAGTGCGACGAGTGATGAGTATTTAAAAATCTCGGTGCCTCTCTGTCTTTCTCCTCTGCTATGGATCAATAACTCTTTTATACTGTCGATAATTGAAATGCACGGAGCCTGAGGTGATTTAGTTGGCTTTAATTTCCTTGTTTTATTATGAATGCAAATTTAAGACAGAGGACATCAGATCTCCAGGCATCTATAGACACACAATTCATTCCTACCCTTACTAACTTAAATAATATTATAATAATATGATATAGCTATAAAGTCTGCTTATAGCTGCTGCAACTGATTATTTTCTTTGACAATTATTCTGCTGATTGTTATCTCAATTTCTTGAGTATTTTTCTCAGAGTCAAATGTACAGAAAATATAAAACCGTCGAGAGATTCAAGTCGCTTTCATAGAAAATGTAACGTGCAACGAATTTTGCCATTACAAAGACTGCTTTTATTATTTTTAGTTGAAAAATGACTAAAATTCTTAATTTATGTGCAACAAAGTAAGTTATCTTGCAATTAAATAATATAATACACCAACATAATAATTTGAGAGAGAAAAGTGTTTTAATTTCATCCAATAAATAGTAAATTAATAAACTATAATGTAAAGTAAGCCAATATTAAATTGGAAAAATCTGTCCTAACTAAGTCCTAAAAGTGTTTTAGAAATGTCCTGGCTACTATTTAAAATATCTCTTTAAGATGCTTAAATCATCTCTACCCGTACTTTAGGCCTACCGTGTACATCCTCAGAGAAAGGTGAAATTGCAGGGAAAAGGGGAAAGTGGTAGAATGAATGAGAAAAGAGCGAAAGTGCAGGACCTTGTAATAAGCCCCATGGTGACAGCCAAGGAGTGGCTGCACCTCCAAGTGCTGCAAAATGAGGAGAAGGGTGCTTGTATGAAAGGGAAAATAAAGTTGCCAGAAGTAAAAGCATCGAAGGGATAAAAATCAGACAGAGAAACCCAAACCTTTACTGAAAAATAAAAGCCTTAACCTTTCTAAACACTAAACTGTGTCAATATTATCGATGCTGGAATAAATAATTGCCTGTCAATTCCTCAAGCATTTGAGATCCTTAAAATCCCCTATTGTCTTTTATCTCAATGTCTATCAGGGGTGTTGCAGGTGACACTATCCGAAGAGGCAAAGTTGAGGCAAAGAGTTTCTGCTGATTTTACAACTATAAATGGTGGACATATCTGGCTTTCTAAGGCTCCACAACTACACAGAGTTTAGGACCTCTGTAACATCAAAGCATTTTACCTCATTGAGTCTTAAATCATTCAATCCTCGTCAAATTTTCTGTCACGGACACTGAGTCTGGCAAATAGCACAAATGAATAATTCAACAGCTGAAGCAACCTATCAGAGCCACTAACTCCACTGGTGTGTGGAGGATCTCAGATAGGGCTGAAAATGCAAGAGTCGCCACCCGCTTAATGAACATGAGCATAGATGAAATAGCACATCAGCCTTCACATTTGGGAAAAAGCTCTCGGACCCTGTAAATCTCCGGCAGCTCTCAGGGTTCAAGAAAAAGTCGTGTTTGATTTCTGTGCAGCAGAGTAGCAACCACGCAAGTCGCAGAACCCACAGCTTTCAAAGGCTTTTCTTACACTTTGACATATTAAAAATATTTCCCAGACCGAGTCTACTCCTTTTCTGAAAGGCTTTTCCTGCTGTGTCAATCAGGCAGAAGTTCAGTATCAATGACTTCTCATTTCGTCTTCAGTGGGTCACCTTACGAACTTCAAATAACGTCTCATGTTCTCATCATGACTTCAAAGCCTTAGAATCGTTAGTAAGTAACCTGCTTTAAATCTGCAAACACCCCGACAAAGATGGAGCTTTCCCTGCAAGCATGTGAAAGTCATCTCATCAGGGAGGAAAATGTAAAGATGAGGAGCAGAAACACTGGAGGAAAAGGACTCTCATTTGGCTTTGGTTCCTCTGTGGCAGCCAGGTTCCCCGGGCTGATGGATGAAGGGAGAAACTCATCTTATGACTAATTATTTATCTTCCCTTTCAGAACTATTTTGTATGGGGGTTGAAAATAGCAAAACTCTTCGCTCTGACCAAGTAGTAAACAAACCCCATGGAAGCGAATGAGTCTCCTCTTTGTCTCTCACAACACTGCAGTGCTTGGCTGCAAGGCACACAGCCAACGTACAAAATCTGGCAGCTTATATTACTACAATCTTATTGTTGAGTGTATAATTACCTCAATAATTACTTCAATAATTGCTGTTAGATCACGAGTGATGTTATTGTGACACATCGAATGTGTGAGAACCGCATTTTTGAAGGATTGCTAGGTTGCTAAAGTTTGAATGAACTGAGAACTGAACACATATGTTGACATGCACAATATTTCCATCTTTCTGTTAAAATGCTTCCCTCAAACGAATATATTGAGATTATTGCAGACAAACATATGCTAGGTGAATAAATAAAACAATTAGCAATAAAAAATGGGCACATATGGCAATATTGGAGATGTCCATTAATAGTAACTGTTTCAAGTTCAACTATTTATGTGGGGGAGTCAAACTCACTTTTAACTAAAGTATTAACTATAACAATAAACAAAGAATAATTACTACTGAGATTACCGTTTATTTAGGCATTGAAATATTTAATATTTTGGCATTTGGACAGTTTTAAACTAAAATATATAGAAGCAGAAAACTTAGTTAGTTATTACAGCACTGTAATCATTCCTCTGGTTATACTCACAGAGCAGTGAATTATTAATTTTTAAATTAAATTTAAATTTTGTGCAAAAAGAATAGAAAGTTCCATCAATCTGAGTCAACCAAACAAAGTTAATTCAAACTTTGCCCTAAGTGAATGTGGCAGACGGGTATGTCGACAAGTCACATGTTATGTTATGGCTGCGTTGCCATAAAGCAACACAGCTGTTGGGATCTGTTCAAATCCACATGATCCGGCTGTCTGCTGAATTTTCAAAATAAAAGAATATCTGAATTTTATACGGACTTGGATTCTCTGACAGTTTAGTCGCTCTACAACATTGTAATTATATTATATATATTTTACTGATATGTTTAAGGATAATTGTGAGTTTAACTAATGCTAATTCAGAGAGTAGTGAGCCACAGTTGTCTCTTGGGATGTATAATGTGCTTTAGAGCAGGCTTCACTGTCAAATCACACCTAGTTTAAACCCAAGCAGGCACCTAGCAGGAGGCACTCAATTCTAATAGGAGGAGGTCTCTCCTCTTTGAGCTCCTCTCATCTCTTATTCATGTAGTGAAGGTGAGAGGAGAGAAGGAGCTACAAGTGAGAGCCGAATGGGTCAGAGAAGAGAGATGAAAAGGGGGAGAAAGCTCTGGTTAAAAGAAGAAAGAGGTGAACAGAAGAAAAAAAGATGGCAGGAGAAAAGCCCCAACTCCCTCTCACCCTTCCAGTTGATCCCACGGAGGAGAAGAAAGACTCTGGTCCTGGAGCTCCACACAGACCAGGATCAAAAGGAATCCCCAACTGATCCAAATGTTGTTTTAATGTTTCATGTCGGACAAGACATTGAGTTGAGGCTCGGATGAAACACGGCCCAAAGGGACTCTGATCAGACGACGTTTTCACATGACAACGTCACACCGCGGAGCTTTTTTGTCTGACCACATAAACTGTGTACATACATTATTCAAAATGTTAAGCAAATACATTGCTTGTCTGATTGGATTATTAATGTCTCGTTTACATTATGCCATTGCATTGTCACTCCCCAGATTCATTGATGTACATTCATTACATTTGTCACGGTTTGGGTTCATGTCCTGTTTTATTTTGTAGTTTTCTTTCTCTTGTCTTCCTGGGTAACTTCACTTCCTGCCTTGTTCTGTCATCCCCTGTGATTGTCATGATTGTTTCCACCTGTGTCCAATCACTTGCACCTCCATAGTGTATTTAAACCATGTGTGTCTCTGGTCCCTTGTCGCGTCATTGTTGATTGTCAGAAGCCTATGTCCGTGTCCGTGTCCTCGTCCTCGTCCTCGTCCTTGTCCGTGTCCTTGTCCTTGTTCTCGTTTCCTGTAACCCAGTAAGGCTAAAAAAAATACATTGCATGGGGGCGAGTTAATTAGTGTCACAGTAAGGTACAATGTTTCAATGTCTCATTTTCATTTTCCCCAGTGCATTTTTATATGTGCACACCTACAATCCTGGAAAGCGCAGTTTGTGGGAAAACCTATGTAGGAATTAATAAAACATTCAATCATACATGAATGCTGTTAATGCATAGAAACCTTTATGCAACCCACACCGATTATTTTAGCTGTGACAAAGCCCTTCAAGGATGCCGGGAAGCTTTCTTGTTCAAAGCCTTGTTTCCTCAGAATAGAAGACCGAAGACGACCGTATTTAGAGTATTTTTTTATGCAGATGCCATTACTACGCGCTCTCATGTAATGCAAATGTAAACACTTGCGTGCTCACAAACTCATTTAAAATGTAGCACGTTGAGCTTTCATTTCATCTGTGCACAATACGTCAAAAGGGATCTTTGAAATGTGAATACTCCAGCAAGCATTCACTGAGAAGAATAGAATGCTCAATACAGGAAATCACTGCTCATATAGCTGCATACAAGCCTTTGAAGGTAAGATTGGGGACCTGTTTAATATCTCCCACTAAGCTCTAATGGATCAGGAAGACAAAAGAGCTCTAAACTTGCGTAACTAGTGAATCTCTGCCTGTGAAGGGTTAACTTGTTCCTCTCAGGCAGGTAAAAAAGGGTTGGGAACAATCACGCGGAAGTCATTGACGTAAGAGAAACTAAAAAGAAAAGAGCTGCGTGTTTCTACGTTACCTTTACAGATCTGATTTTCAAAAGAAGAACACTACATACATACACAAGGTAAAGTTTTAATTTGTAGTCTTGTCTTGAGTAATAACTAGTACAGGCATGAAAATCGCTCACCTTTCGGCGAAATTCGCCGTTTTGAAACCAAAATAGGTCACCTACGTGAATCGTGTAGATTCAATGAGTTTTTTGGGGGTGGGTTTGTATTCATATTCAGTGAACTGCGAACAATATTATGCCTGATGAGTATTTAATGACTTGTCCCCTATTAGTTGTTGTCAATTCCCATCCCCCCCCCTCGTCGGTACGCGAAAAATGATCCCTGGGACAAAACCAGTTGAAAACCCCTGCCCTAGAGGGGTAATATCCTTCTCACCTTTTTCACCCTTGACCCGTTTTCATGCCTGCTAGTAACTACAGCTGTGAATCAGGATCGACTTATGACTGCTCTCACATGTCTTCCTCATTTCCTTTCATGTTGTCTAGACATGGCTGCTGTTGCTGCTGCTGCCAGCGGTCAAAATACAGAGAATAGTGTTCTTTGTCCTATCTGTCTGGATGTGTTCAAAAAACCTGTGACGACTCCCTGTGGGCACAACTTCTGTCTTGACTGCATCACAGACTACTGGGAGACCAGCGATACCGTGATCAAATGTCCGCTGTGTAAAGAGAAATTCTTCAGCAGGCCAAAGCTTCAGGTCAACACTTTAATTGCTGAGATTGCCTCAGAGTTGTACAATCCTCCAAGATCTCGCGTTACCCCGGAAAAAGCAGGAAATGGAAAAGTGCTCTGTGATCGGTGCACGGGTGCAAAGCTCGAGGCCATCAAGTCCTGCTTGGTGTGTTTCTCGTCTTTCTGTGAGGAACATCTGATTCCTCATCAGAGAATTCCAGCCATGAAAAAACACCGGCTGATCCAACCGGTTCATGACCTGGAGAGCCGGATCTGCACGACACATCACAATCCTCTGGAACTGTTTTGTAGGGTTGATCAAATGTTTGTTTGCGAGACCTGTAAAGACACCAACCATAAAACGCATAAAGTAGTGAATCTGGAGGATGAGGCCCAACTGAGGAAGATCAGGCTGGGAACAGACCAAGGAATCACGGACGAATTAATCAAGGAGCGTCAGAGGAAAATTGACGAGATCCAAAAGTCAGTAGAGGCGAGCAGGACAAAGGCAGCAAAGGCCCTGTCATGCAGCGCGCATTCCATGACTGCTATGATAGACTACATCAGGAGAAGCCAAGCAGAGTTGGCTGACATTATTGAGACAAAGCAGAATCAAATTGAAATGGAGAGAAATTGCTTAATCAAAGAGCTGCAAGGAGAAATTCTACAACTGAGGCGAAGAAATTCTGAGCTTAATAAGGTTGAGTTCACCAACGACGCTTTGTGGTCCCTTGAGAACTTTCTGTCTCTCACCTTCACGCAGCCTCAGGTCAAGAAGTGGTCCGACGTGACTTTTGACGGCGATGAGTTCAGTGAGCAGGGAGCCGTGGCTGCGCTGGAGAGGACTGTGACGAAAGAGATAAAGATGCTGTGTGATCCCGATTGGAAAGAAATGCGGCGGCACGCTGTGGATGTGACTCTGGATCCGGACACGGCCCACCCTCTCCTCGTGGTCTCTCCAGACGGGAAGCAGGTCGCACGCGGAGACGGAAAGAGGACGCAGCCAAAGAAACCAGAGAGGTTTGACCACGTCCTTAATGTCCTCGCAAAGGAGGGGTTCTCCTCGGGGAAATTCTACTACGAGGTCCAGGTTGGAGACAAAACCAACTGGGATTTAGGAGTCGCAAACCAGTCCATCAACAGAAAAGGAGACATCAGACTGAGCCCTCGGAACGGCTACTGGACAATTTACCTCAGAAAAGGAAAGGAGTTAACGGCCAGCGCCGGACCTGCCGTCAACATCACTGTGAGGCAGACGCCTAAAAAGGTTGGCGTGTTCGTGCATTACGAGGTGGGTCAAGTCTCCTTTTACGACGCCGACTCCAGGGCTCTACTCTTCTCCTTCACCGGGTGGAGCTTCACCGAGAAGCTCTTTCCCTTCTTCAGCCCCTGGGGCAACGATGGCGACAGCAATCCAGCCCCTTTGATCATCACTCCAGTCAAACCCGGCAGCTGAGTTTTTTTTTTTTGTCTGCTGGATTTGGAGAAACAAAAAGAGACCGGGGACTTGTTGAGAGATCACAGCGGAGCGCTGAAGCGTTTTGATCCGTGAAGCGCCGGCATGTCGTCCTGTTTTCCCCATCCATCAGTGTCGGAACCGCGTGTCACCGAGCGACGCCTGTCACCCAGAACCTGCGGATCTCCAAGGGAACGCACAGGTAGCCATCAGGTGGATCCAGACATACATGAACAGCGTGACGCGTTGTGCTGGGTTACAAAAATAAATCTTTATCTGAGGGCCATCAATTTTGATGCTTTAAAAGCTGCCATTTGCTGCATTTGCAAACATTTCATCAAACTCGTTTTGTGTTCCTCTGGGGTGACACATATGAGGCCGGTTAAGTTTTGACATGATGGATGGGATCGACAACAACTATTTTTGGGTTCACAAAATACTGTTTGATCTACATGGGATTCACCTGAGGCCAGCATATACAAACGTGATTCTTCTAATGCGGCTCTCTGTGAGAATCGTTTTATCAGTCAGCAATGATGGAGCCTGACGCTGTGTCCTGTAATTACAATCTGCCAAACCTGCTTTCCAAGTTCAAACACAGCAAATGTGTTTGATTAAGAGAGACTTATGCAAATCTATATTGAGCCAAAGTATGTTTGTTTGCTGGTGAGTAAGATTTATTTCCGATTTAATCCCGTTTACGTGTTTCTTCTTCCTCCCTAGTAGAACGACTAAATCATAAGAAAGAATAAATGTTTACAATCATCATTTTGAGTTAATTTTGTGCTTAAACTGAACCAAATCATATTGATGTCATATCATGACTGATCAACATTGATGGGTGACAGTTTCAGAGGTCACAGATGTCGTCCTCATGACAGATGACACAAACAATTGCATTCTGTCGGTTGGTTTTCAGGACTTGTTTATTATTTAATTTTTTTCGTCATGATGCCGGTTTTCTGTTTAATCAGGTTGTTTTAATCTCATCTGGACACAAAGTAGCTGAAGAGCTTCAGGAAAGTCGGTCAGATCAGCCCATTGAATTGCTGTATCGTTAGGACCACACACTGGGCTAATGAGTGTGGGGGGCTGTTGGGTAAAAGCCTTTCACATCATCTCCATAAAGTCTGTTAATAATTACACCCACAATTGGATGACCGTGCATTTTTTGGCATAATTTATAGAGATGAATAATGATGTCATAGCAAAGAGGACCATGCTGTCAGAAAATTCAGCTTCATAAAAAAGTATATTGATTGTTGCTATTCTCTTAAAATGTATTTGACAGACAAAATCCCTCTTTTTTTGCTTATCTTTGGAGTCTGAATTGCAATGGCCGTGTGTGAATGTATCTTGGATAAACGAATCAGGGTAGAAATAATAAAAGCAATTTAGAAAATTGCAGAATGGATTTGTTTGGGACAACTTGAATAACTTAACAATCTAAGAAATCCTGCTAACAGATAAACACACAGAATGGCGAATAACAGTGTTAAAGTGCATCTGTCACACTGAGGGATATAAACACAAATTAGACACTCTCCTGACAGCCTGAGATCCCCAAAATAATACCTTGCTTTTTACTCCCAATGGATTGTGAAAAATAATGACTATTCTGCATTTCGCAAGCAGAGCGTTTAATGATTGACACAAATCATTCCATATTGTTAACCATTAATTGAAAACATATCACCTGCAGAATGGGAGTATAAATGTGTAGGTGCTTTATGAATAGACACGATGGGTAGACGTTAACCCAAAACGGGCTTTATTTTACTGGTAATAGTCAGTGCTGCAAAACATTCATATCTCACATTAATAAATGGTGGCAATACTGTATTATGAAAAGTAAACTATTCCGACAAAAACTTACATAAGGGAAAGTCTGGTGGAAGTGAGACTACTATTAACACTGTTAAGCATTTGTTTGATGCTTAGATCTTTAATGTGTTAGATTTTCATGAATCATACAACATATTCCTATTTTTGTATGAAAAATGTGATTCTGCAAAGTAACTTTACTTTTATTCAATACATTATTTTTTTCCTTTTTTGCAACGTATTGAGTAAAGGTACAAAGTATCATCAAGAGGAGCTGTATAAGGACAAAGACCATAACATTCTACTTACAATTGAGTACATGAGAAAATGTACTTACATGTATTCCATCAATGGTTATGGAAATAGTAGTTTAATCTTTGTGCTAGTTTCAACATAATGGATCATATATATACACACACACACAGTATATATGCACACATATTCTGTATTTTGTTTTGTATTAGATATTAATATTCGAATAATTCAATTGGTACATAACAATTGGTACGCAGTTACCAAAAAACCTTGAACCTAAATGCACCCAAAACATTGGACAATACAGAACAATCCTACGAATATGCTTGAGACTGCATTATGACAATGTTTTCCCAGATATTTACAATGGCTGAATGCAGAACATTTTGTGTAATCATCCTAGGGGGGTTAAATTGCAGTAATTGACTCAATTGTGTTTTAAGTACTCCTCTGTATTTCAAATGTGCTGCACTTTATTACTGTCAAGGAAACAAGCTCATTATAAAAGAGGGCTTGTAAACCACCATTCTAAGGTTTCTGTCAAGCAGGATTTTCAAATTAAAAGCAGTGCCGGACTGTGCACTGCTTCTGGTGTGGAAAGACAGCTGCTGAAGCAAACCTGTTGATCCAGTCAGTGAGTGAACACACCCGCAGCTTCTTAGCGGCTCTTTCTGTTCACTTGGTTTTCTTTAATCACAAGACAACTGACAAGAGAGGGTAATCCTGGACTCCTGTAAAAAGCTGATACTCACTAAAAACTGGTCAACTCCAGCAGTTTGTAGAGAGGCCCGGAGGCGGCGTTTGCTACACACTGTTTGGAAAGAGACGCTGGTGAGGAGGAGTGCAAGAGTGAATAATGAAACGGGGGAAAATTAAGTTTAAATGAACCGCAACTGAAAAGATGACATTGTCTTTGAGTCCCAAGACCCGCAAACATTTTTATAATTAAAACCATGCGTGGTACCTTCACGAGTCACATTCCAGCTAATACATATTTAAAAATTCAAGATATTTTCCAACTCACGCTCTTATTAGCGTTGTCTGGTTAGGATGTTTTGGTATTTTGACCTAAAGAGTTCTGAAGAATTGTCTCCATTCAGCCACATATGATGTCATTAGTCAACACCTACTGGGTGTCACTGTTTCAAACAAATAATGAAGCCCTGATGGCTGACATAAAATGTAATACAGCTGGGTATAATTTTGTATGTAGTGGCTTGCCCCTATGATAGAAACATTGGTCGCTCAGTCCTCCACCTGATGGTAATGAAACTGAAAGAGATATCTTTTTACAGCTACTGAATGGATTGGAATGCGATTTGGTACAGACATTTATGGTTCCAGCTGGAATTAAGTCAACTTCGATACCATAAGACTAAAACTAATGCCTCTCCCATTGTCCTCAATGTTATGTTTTTGGTGCTAATTAGCGGTTATTAGCATGCGTACATGATGAGATAATATGGTAAACAAGATGAACACAGTGAACATAGCAGAGCCTGCTAGAAATCAGCACGTCATCGTGGGCCAAATAGCATGTCGACATGAACATCAAGCTTGAATCACAAACAACTACGCCCCCCCGGCAGGCTAGAGGAGGTTTATGAACTAAAATAAATGGCTGCATTTATTTTTTATGACGAGGATGTCCCGGTGTTTGTGTCACTGTGTCGGACCACAAATGGAGTGAGTACTTTGGTCCGGGTTATTACACTGGCTTAATGAATGACCGTTTGTGAAAAGTACAAGTCCATCATATGCTGTGTGTGTGTGTGTGTGTGTGTGTGTGTGAGGCGCGTGTCCATGTTTCCAAAGGACCGCATGACTTTGCCCCACAGTATGTGTATCTAATGAAGTGTCATATGTAATGAGATAAATCTATCCATGTGGGTCCCTTAACGAGACTAAATCCACATGGCTGCTAATGAGTCGGTGCTCCATCAGTCGTCCTCGGAGTACTGGAGGACCTGCCAGAGGCCGGAGACGACCCGGAGGCGGACAGAATCACACCCTCTAAGCCAGTAAATCCAAAGCTCCAGCTGCTGCAGACCTCCATCATCTAGCTAGCGGTCCTTCAGGGAGTGACTTCAAGTGAGCAAACGGCTGCAACTTGATAGACGGTGGAGTCATAGCCGGCGCAGGGAAACACTAATCATCTGTAATCATTGATCTGCCGTCACTGGGCCGTACTCATTAGCCTGGTGGAACAACGCTCTTGAGGATTTGTTACCATTGTCTATTATTAGCTATCCAGCTACTGCTGTTTTAAATATGTGCACTGCAGGCGCTAAATGCTGTGCAACAACATGTGGCTAATGGAACAGTGTGAATTGTTGTGAGTTCAAAAATGTCACAAACAGAAGTGATTGTCAGGGTTGCGGGTGGAAGGCAGGACTCAAACGCAGAGTTGTCAGGAAACACAAAGGACTTTAATAGTCAATGGTCAAAAACACAGGAACTGGGAGGAAAAGCAGCAGGCAACATGTGTGACAAAAGACAATGACGCGACAGGTGACACAGGAGACACATGGCTTAAATACACAAGGGAGGTGCAGGTGATTGGACACAGGTGGAAACTATTAAACGATCACAGGGGATGACGGGACAAGGCAGGAAGTGAAGTTACCCGGGGACACGAGTGGCAGAAAACTACAAAATACAACAGGAAGTGAAACCACACCGTGACAGTACCCCCCCCTCAAGGGCCGACTTCCAGGCGGCTCACACTAGAGCAAAACAAGGGGTGGGGGGGCAGGGAAACCAGAGACGTTGGTCGGACCACCCGGGAAACTCTGGCGGGCGGCCCGGCGGGTGGCCAGACGAGCGGGGAGCCTCTGGGGGTCGGCCCGGCGGGCGGTCACCAAGCCGGCTCCGGAGCGGCGACTGCAGGGCACGGAACGTCTCTAGAATGGCAGGCTCGGGGACACGGGAAACCTCCGGGGTCGGCGGCGGCAGCTCGGGGACACGGGAAACCTCCGGGGTCGGCGGCGGCAGCTCGGGGACACTGAACACCTCCGCGGTTGTCGCCGTCGGCTCGGGGACACGGAACACCTCCGCGGTTGTCGCCGTCGGCTCGGGGACACGGAACACCTCCGCGGTTGTCGGCTCGGGGACACGGAACACCTCCGCGGTTGTCGCCGTCGGCTCGGGGACACGGAACACCTCCGTAGTCGGCTCCAGCTCGGGGACAGGGAACACCTCCGTAGTCGGCTCCAGCTCGGGGACAGGGAACACCTCCGTAGTCGGCTCCAGCTCGGGGACAGGGAACACCTCCGTAGTCGGCTCCAGCTCGGGGACAGGGAACACCTCCGTAGTCGGCTCCAGCTCGGGGACAGGGAACACCTCCGTAGTCGGCTCCAGCTCGGGGACACGGAACACCTCCGTAGTCGGCTGCATCGTCGGGGAACCCGGAAGTGCCCCGTATTTAGCATAAAACGTTCGGGGACACCGAAGGGTTCGGGAGTCGCGGGCCGGCTTAGCCCAAACGATATACCACGACATGACCTCCCTCCATGCTCCAGCTCATAGACCCCCCTCAAGGGCTGGATTCCAGACGGCCCTCAAATCACCAACGGGAGGGTGGGAGAGGACCATGCGATGGGAGGGAGGGAGCCTGAGTCTCTGAGCGGGGACTGGGGGCGTCGGGTCCATAAGTCTCGGAGCGGGGACTGGCCGAGTCGGGGGCATGGAACGTGGGGCCGGTACTGGTCGGGTCGGGGGCATGGAACGTGGGGCCGGTACTGGTCGGGGGCATGGAACGTGGGGCCGGTACTGGTCGGGGGCATGGAACGTGGGGCCGGTACTGGTCGGGGGCATGGAACGTGGGGCCGGTACTGGTCGGGTCGGGGGCATGGAACGTGGCGCCGGAACTGGTCGGGTCGGGGGCATGGAACGTGGCGCCGGAACTGGTCGGGTCGGGGGCATGGAACGTGGCGCCGGAACTGGTCGGGTCGGGGGCATGGAACGTGGTGCTGGTACCGGGGGCATGGATCGTGGCACTGGCTCGGGTGTCGGGGACATGGATCGTGGCACTGGCTCGGGGGTCGGGGGCATGGATCGTGGCACTGGCTCGGGGGTCGGGGGCATGGATCGTGGCACTGGCTCGGGGGTCATGGGCTTGGGTCGGGAATCTGCTGCGGCCCAGCGCGGGACATCTTGCGCTGCGACCGAGCGGGGTCGGAACGTCGCTGCGGCCCAGCGCTGGACATTGTGCGCTGCGACCGAGCGGGGTCGGGAAGTCGCTGCGGCCCAGCGCTGGACATTGTGCGCTGCGGCCGAGCGTGGGGAGCATAGGTGGCCTGTAGTCGGACCGCAAGGTCCATT